GCAGTTTTCTCCGTGGTGAACCCCTTGGACAGTACTGAAAATAGCTACAGCCCAGTTCCTCCACAAGGCTCTTTCCTGGTCAGTCCTTCTTCACCCTCTAGATTTGCCTGGCACCGAGTCAGACTGCAGTCCACCCTGCCTCCCTCCCAACATCAGGGGACATGGGTCAAAATTCTGAGTGGGTCCAAAGAAACCCCTTCCCTGGCTGATGGTGATGGAGGTAGCATCCTGGGGGCCAACAGCAGTGGCTCTCTCTAAAGAAATCTCCTCAGCAGATACCACCCCCTCTCCATACTCTGTCCCTTCTTTATATCCTTGATGTGGTTGAAGAGGCCGAAAGTCATGGATCTAACTCTTCCACATTTTCAGATTTACAGAAGAAATGATTATTAGAATCTCACTTTGGGATTTCATCTGTCTTATTTCTCGGTGTCTAGGTAAAAAGCTTAATTTTAACACGCTGTTACAAAAGCGTGGTATGCGTGAGGCCTTCCGATGTTTTAGACACATCCCCTTTCACCCTCAGCACACTCGTTCTGTACTGTTGGGCGTCGGCAATTTCTCTTGCTCTTACACGTTGGTCTTTATAAGCCTGGCCAGGGTAGGGCTAATATTTTGATCTCTCTCTGATGCAAAAACCTGTTTTTACAAAGGGGTGTAAGTCATTATACAACTGAGGGGAGCCTGAGACTTAATCCCATTCCTACCATTAATTAGCTCTCATCCCAGCTCGGGTCTCCGAGACTCAGTAGCTTCAACAGCATCACAAAGGGGTTGGGTTATAAGATGTCCAAGGCTCCTTTCAGCCCTCACGGTCCACATGGACACATCAGGAGAATGGGGCAGGGATGGGGACCTGGAGAGACATCTGGGAAGTCAAAATCCTAGCCTCCTCGATGTGGCTAGATGGTTTGGAGATGAGGAAACCAACCTGGGGAGTAGAGATGGCAGGTCTTCTGGGAGGCTGTGAGCCAATGGTCATCCACCATGTGGCCCTTTCTTCTCTCCCCCTCAGGCTCATCAATGAGAATGAAGTGAAACAGTGGCGAGACCAGGCAGAGAAGTTCCGGAAAGGTGAGGGCTTCTGCCTCGGCCTGCTGCATGCTCCGCATCCCCCAGCCCAGCCCAGGACCCGTCTCCTCCCATGGAGAGGGATGCACGTCCTCACAGTCCGTTCTCCCACCTCATCTCCTGTCCCACCCCCTTCCCAGAACACATGGAGCTCGTGAGCCGGCTGGAGAGGAAGGAGCGGGAATGTGAGACAAAGACGCTGGAGAAGGAAGAGATGATGCGGACACTGAACAAAATGAAGGACAAGCTGTCCCGAGAGTCCCAGGAGCTGCGCCAGGCTCGGGGACAAGTGGCAGAGCTGGTAGCCCAACTCAGTGAAATCTCAGTATGTGGACACCTCTCCCCTCTTTACATAACCAAGCTGAGACCCTGGGCTTTAAGACAGGTAGGCAGAGCAGGTGTGGGGAGGACTGAGGACCCCAGGATGAGGGGGAGGAGAGAGGGGATCCTCAGGCCAGGAGAGAAGGAATCTCT